GTAACCAATTCCGTGCCATGTTCAAATGCCACGCCTACTCTGGGTCGGGGATAAGGAGTGTACAGTCCTCATCATTGCGGACCGGTGGGGCGTGTCAGCCAGAAGGAGTGCGCACACTGTTGAAGCCGTTCTCAGCCTTTTGTTGCAACGCGTATGCGACAAAAAGTGGTAGAAAACGAGTAATACGAAGGATATAATACAGTAATGCACTTGCCCGCTTCAAAAACTGGTGCAGAACGATTTTGCCAAACCGCACCAAACGCAGCCGCACTGCCACGCCCCACCGGTCCGCAATGATGAGGACTGTACTTTAGGGAAATGGACATGCAATCGGTTTTCATGCTCCGCCAATGAAGGATGTTTGGCATAGTCGGCCACGGGAGGGGGGGGGAGAGTTCTGCACCTCTGCTACTTCCCATCGACGTGTCTACCCATTTAGAAAGCCTTTTCGTGGATTGACAGTTTTACCATGGTGGCTCGGTGAGCTTGCTCCAGCTTCACGAGAGTTCACAGGTTTCACCGGATTGAGACTTGTTATCCGGAACTAGTGCAGAGGTGGAAGTGCAAAATGCCCCCCCCCCGCGCCGAACTGCGCCGGAATTTTCTATCATCATCATGAAGAGACACTTCTGAAATTTCGGCTCAGGGAGACCCAAAGTAGTGGAGCACCAGTCAGGGATTTCCTATATGGATAGGCCTGGATAGCTCAGAGACTGACCTGAATTTTCCATTCCTTCAGGGAAGTCTTACTGATGTCATGAATGTTCGGGAGAATGAAATATAGCCTGACCCAGTAACCCATAAGAGAGCCTAAACGCCCATGTCATCCGGCGCGATTCTCGGGTAAGTAAATGCGCCACTTAAGTGGGAAGTGGGCACGGTGGCTGGAGGCGGGCTGTTACTGCCAGCGTCACTGGTGGAAGAGCTGCGAGGAGGCCTTTGCACTTCCATCAGACCTTCCACCAATGACATTAGCAGCAATCGCCCGCCCCCAGCCATCGTACCCCATTGCCCTTGAGGGGCATATTATTCCGCAATGAGTTCGGATAAGTGAGAAACCACAACCATTCCTGCATTCTTCATAGGTGCATTCTCACGATAAAGAAGGTAAGTGCGCTAACAAGGAAGGCTGGATGGTGGTTCTCCGCCCACCCAATTACCACGAAATGTGCTTTTAGGCTCCCGCTCTTTCACATTACCGATGGACTGTAATCCATTGTTCGCAATCGATTAAGTGCAATCTAAGAAACGATTTATTCTAAAAAAATTCTTCGAGTAGTTATCAAATTATCACAGATTAATTGAAGCCATATCCACAATTAGGGTCTCAGCGCCAAACTCTTAACGTAATCCGGAAGATTACTTAAAATTAGGCCAGATGCTTGTTGATGAGATCGTCGAGCAGCATTTCGAGGTTCTCGTTCGTCCCCTTCATGCCAGCGATTACCTGCAAACACATGATAAGTCGTACTGGCATGTTGCCAAGCTTTCAACTACCGTACCTCTTTAGACCACTTGAAATACTCCTTAACTGTTCGTCGATCCCAGCCTACTGGTGTTTGGCGTGCCATATCGCGTAAATTGTAAAGTTTGTCGGCCAAATGAACGAGTTTTGCCTGAAATACGCGACCTCGCCCAACGCCATTGAGAGGGTTAGTGGACCGTGAACGTAGCCACCCCTGCAAAACTTAGCCCACCCTCCAAAGAACACTTGGAAACTTGAGTTAACATATTCCGAAATAGCAGCATCCTTGAAACTCTAGTAGCCGCGCCTTAGCTGGCCAGGGCAAGAGCCGATACGGGATCTGACCCCTGGACCGTGCGCGTCGTAGGCGTGCTACTTGCTACTACACCTCATCTATAACTCACCTCATGTGTAACAATGAAGATGACAAAGAAGACGAGGGCACAGTCCAGCTTGGTGGAGGCATTTCGCTGGCTCCCATCGATCACTATCGATGCCTTCTACAGAGCGCTTCGTGCATTCTCCCAATTGTAAACTATTGTGGAGCCAAACACTAGCACGAGCCTCGCTTACACACGGTAAACGTCATAAAGTCATGCTAAGGTGATACGTGCAGTTCAGTTAGTTAAACGCCCCTCCCATCGTCGTGCAGAGCCATTAAAAATTATTAAGCTATACAGTCCATGAGCAGAATGCCCCCATCGAAAGCGCGAGCCTTTTGATCGCGTACGCGTCCTCATGTACTTCGCGCCCCACAAGCGCTGAAATCATCTGTAAGATGCCTCCAGATGTGCTTAGAATGTGGCTCAAAGAACGCCTCAGCTAGCCTCACTCGACTCGTTGTATATGTACTTGAGAACAGATAGCATTCACCTTGAACCAGGCCCATTTATGTTAGCGAGAAGTGGCTAGCCCCAGAACAACCCCCCCTTAGCTTGTTGTGGGATTAATAGTTCAAAGCAAGCAGAAGCAGTAAAAGAATAAAAATTATGAGGTGTGGACCAAGCCTTATTTGATGAATAGCGTTACACCTCTAGCGCTTCTTCAGAATGTGCTAGTTGCCATCTTTGACTGTCATTTGGCCTGCCCACAACGACATGTTTGGCGTCTCAGCTGACACACAAGCCAGTCCCGGCCCACTAACCTAAATGCCGCCCCAGCCTGACGAGAGGCATGGTCTGCCTTGAGACAATAAAAGCTTTTGGTTAAGATAAGATTTGTACCTAATCGAGCCTCATTTTCGATATACTCGCTCGAATGGGCAGGCCGCCTAACTGATGCCGCCTTTGACGCGCCGCCCACTTTTGGCCCTTGCCGCGATCATTCACGAAGCTGGCTAGCTATCACAAATCCGCCTAGAAGTTACATCTTGCATTACGAATATGATCATTCATTCTTGCCGCTGGATGCTAATGCTCGAGAAGACTGCAGTATTCGCCCCCGCTCTGCTAAGGCTTAGCCCCAGAGATAGTCTTAGTGTCCCCCAATTGGCCCCAGCTTCCAGAATCGAATGTCATTAGTTATACAATAGCGATTAAAGCTACTTTGCTATACAAGTTTCCAGCGGATTTCATGGTGTTCTGCCCGGCCCCCACTTGTATAAATGACGTCCGCCATCCAAAACTGTAGGCGAGTCAAACGCCGCATCAGCATCGAAGCCTATCGTAGTGCCGTTCTAAAGAGATACTGTAACTCTGAACTGTAGCAAATTTGTTTCGCCGCTGCCACATAAAGAATATCGGATATGTTAATCGGTTGCTCGACGATGTTCCACGATAACGTACAAAAGCAAGGTCAAGTAAATCGCGACGAATCACCATCATGTGAGGTAACTACGCACGGCAAAATTCTAGAGGTTAGGGTCGGAACTAACTAAATGCAAAACTAGAGCTGATAATTCTTGGTTCTTTTTTTGACGGGAACAGTAAATTACTGAAAAATACACAGTAATAATAACAAGAGAAATACATTGAATCCTGCCTTTACTCAGAAGTAGACTCTAGTCCTCACAGTTAGACATGGGAACGGAGCCACGAGCTCCACCACAATTTGAAATAATGAAATATTAAATCACAGTAAATATGACGAAATTAATTAATTCATATAAAAGGATAAAGTCTTCGCCATTGATCAGTCCCTCTGTGGCACGCATTCTATACTCCTTATCCCTGAGACGGGGTAGGCGTGGCATTCGAACATGGCACAGAACTGGTTACTCGTGGGATATTTCAATTTGAGACAACCGCCATCTTGTTCTTTGTTGGACAGAGACGTGACCACATTTGGGTCAAAATGAAAATATCTCTCCAAAAGCATAGCCACCACGACGTTTAGTTGAAGTACGCAGCCACGCCTACCTCATCTCAGGGATTTCGAGTGTACTTCCATTCAGAATCGCAGTGGCTCATTGAATGCGATGTGGCCTATACAATGACTTGCGGGGGCCAGCCGATGTGTGTTCTTATC